TGCCTAAAATTATACCTTGGCAACACCAAATGAACCTTTTTTTTACTTAGTCAAAACTTAGCATCTGGTATTGATTCTTTTTTTTTTTTTTTTTTTTTTTTTTTTTTTTTTTTTTTTTTATTTTTTTGCTTTTTTTTTATTTTTTTTTATAAAAATTTTTGTTATTTTTTTTTTTTTTTATTTTTTTTTTTTTTTTTTTTTATTAGTTTTTTTTTTTTTTTTTTTTTTTTTTTTTTTCTTTTTTTTTTTTTTTTTTTTTTTTTTTTTTTTTTTTTTTTTTTTTTTTATTTAATTGTTAATTGCTCAGACATTTGAAAATTCTGTTAATAAAAATGTCAGCACCTTATTTTTTAATTAATATACTTTTTTTGACATGTACCAAGACTTTTTTCTTTACTTCTATTTTTTTTTTCTAAGGATTTATCAGAAAAATGAAGTCCAAATGAAGGTTATGGAGGAAAAGTCTAATGTTTTAAAGGTGATGTGTCAGAGAGTTAGCTTTGCAGCAAGCAGAATGGATCTTTTGAAAGGTAATAATAAAAATCAATGGAAGAATGGGGGCATTAAATTTAATTTACTTAATACTAAATTTGACACTAGAAATTTGCTTTCTTTTTTTTTTACTGTCATTGCAACTTGTTTTTTTTCTAAAATTAAATTATGTTAATTGTCTTTACATTTTTTTTTTTAAAGCCCAGATAATCAGAAAATCTGCAATTGATTTTAGTTATGATAAATCAAGCTCAGCTTCAATATTACACTGTAAGGAAAAAGAAGAATCTAAGTAAGTGTTGTTTTATTAAAGAATCCTGAAACAAATTCAACATTTCAAGTAACTTTGTATATAGGACATGTTAACACATTTTTTCTTGAAAATTAAAACATTTTAAGTCCTGAGGTCTTACAGTATAACATTTCAACTTTAAACTTATGATAGCACTAATATTTTAATAAATGTGACCAGTGTTTCTTTCAGAAATTTTCGCCCAGGGGAGCACTTCAGATTTTTTTATGGGGGGGCAGTGCCAGCAGTTCCAGTTGATTTATTGGTGGATATATATTTTTGCTCGGGGGGGGGGGGGGGGCGGGGGGCACTGCCCCCTGGGGGTTTAGCTGAATGAAACCCTGAATGTGTCTTAGGTTTTTTTTTTTTTACCTAGATAAGAGACACCTTGACAAAACACTTAAAATAAATAAATATTTCTTAAGTATGTCCAGTTTGGGGGGGGGGGGAGGGGTGTATGGGGAGCAACTAGAGCAAAGGTGGGGAACTTTTTTTCTGCCAAGGGCCATTTGGATATTTAAAGCATCGTTCGCTGACAATAAATAAATCAGGGCTGGCGCCCTAGTGACTGTCTCAGGCATGGAATCCCCGCACATCTCAGCATTCTCAGGGTGATGTAATTTTCATGGAATGAATTTAAATCATGATCTTGCGGGTCCTTGCGGGTCCTTGCTTGTCCTTCAAAATTTATGTTATTTTTATGATTGACTAAATACAAATTAATGTTAGTATGAAAAAAACCTCCAATATTTATTGGGTTCTAAATTCCACCGACAGGCCAAACCAAACGATCTCACTGGCTTTTTGTGGCCCACGGGCTGGATGTTCCCAAGCGCTGCACTAGAGGAATAGATTATCTGAGGGGACAGGGATAATGACTGAGATTAAAGATTATATTATGGCACTATGGAGACATTGGTTGAGATGGTATTTTTCTTGGGGTTTGGAAGCCTTTAAGGGAGTGAGGGTTAATAGATTAGTTCTTTAGCAGGAGTGGATATTGTACTAGTTCATGCAAAACTACTCAGTGCGCTAACCCAGATTAACTTAATGGAACACTAATAAAGTATGTACATCAAGTAAATGGCTTAAATTAGCCGATATGGGAAATAGTGATATTGGAATAGTGAGATGGTATTTTGTGGGCAGGGGTAGTTGTTGGGGATGTGCAAGAAGGGTTTGGGTTGTTTTTTTGGTTACATTTTAATTTTATTAATAATTTTTTTCGACCGGTTTAAAGGCAGTGGATTCTTTAGGGAAAAGGGACATTTATTTTTTTTTAGTAGATGGTGAATGGGTGTAGAGGAAAGGCGTTTGGAGGAAGGTGAGGGGTGTGTGGGGGAAAGGATTTTGGAGGATGGTGAGGGGTGTGTGGGGGAAAGGAATTGGGTGGATGATGGGTTATGATTGAGTGAAGATTCAGAATTGACAGAACAGTAAGCTGTTGAGGGCTGCTTAGCCGAAACATACAATATTTTATATTGACCGTCCTCTGGTTTTTATTTAACCTGTGCATATTTCTTTTTACTGTCACATGTAGATTGTTGTGTAATATGCCTAAAATTATACCTTGGCAACACCAAATGAACCTTTTTTTTACTTAGTCAAAACTTAGCATCTGGTATTGATTCTTTTTTTTTTTTTTTTTTTTTTTTTAAATTTTTAATTTCTCATACATTTGAAAATTTTTTTAATTAAAATTTCCTCACCTTATTTTTTTATTAATATTTTTTTTTT